CCCCCCCCCCATCTTTTTATGCAACAAAACAAGGAAAAAAGGAAGAAAATCTATTATGACATATGTGAAGTCGTAGGCTTTCATGGCCGGCATCCATGATGTCGGCCTGAAAAACCCACAAAAAACTAATTATGACATATTTTACTTCAGTATGATAAATAAGAAAAAACACAGACAAAAACTGTCGTCGTCCCCCCTAATTTTTCTGTTGGCCTTCACATCTCTCTATTCGTGTTAAAAGGGTTCTATTACTTTTCTGAGAATAAGGGTGAGGGAGGAGAAAATGTACACCACACTTACTTTCTCAATCAGAGCAGCTGGTGGTGCTGTTTGATCCAACTATCTGTTAACACAGAGGCAGATGATATGTGCTCTTCAGAGGTTATCTAAATGCAACTTCCACAAGCTCTAGCCAGCATACCCAATGGTGAAGGATAATGGGAGTTACAATTCAACCACATCTGGAGCACTGCAAATTCCTCATCTCAGTACAGGCTGTCTCCCTTATCTGGAATGCCTAAATATTCCAAAAACCAAAACTTTTCTCCTGGGTAGCTGAGATAGTGACACCTTTGCTTTCTGATGATTCAACATACAAACTTGGTTTCGTGCACAACATTATTTAAAATACCATATATAAAATTACCATCAGGCTATGTTCATAAGGTTTATATGAAACAGAAATGGATTTAAAGACATAACTATGCTAGTCTGAATAAACAGTTTGCAAAGGAACTTGCAGCACCTTTGAAACTGATAGAAGTCGGTAGCATGAGCTTTATTGATTTGAGCCTACAAAGTTCAAGTCTATGAAAGCTCATGCTACCAACTTCTGTCTTTCAGTTAGGGCCTCTGCAGACCGGCCCAAAGGGCAGCCTGGAGACAGAGATAGGACAGGGTAGGGCAGCCACATGCCAGCCGTCCCAACCCCATGCCGGCGGCATCCTGACACCGCACGCCATTACGCACGGTGCATGGTGTCAGGGTGCCCTCCCGGTGCAGCGTTCTGACGTGTTGCACCAGAAGGGGCGAGGAAGAGCTGCGCGCCGGCTCTTAGGGCGCCCTTTTGCCACCCCTTAAAGGAGCGGCATTTTGCCACTCTTTTCAGGGCGGCAAAAGGGAGGATTGGGGCCGTGGCATGGGGTAGATGGGGTCCCGATATGCCGCTTTCCAGGATGGCCCAGAGCCGCCCGTCTGCAGTCCCCTTTAGTCTCAAGGATGCTGTAAGAACCCTTTGCATACTGATAAATGAATTTTTTTTTTAAGACATGGATCCCATCTCTAGTAGTAGTAGTAGCAGTATTACCATACTACTAGCAGAAAACATCACAGATTTGGAAAAATTACTAAGGAAGGTTAAAGATGCAAGTGCAAAGGCAGGCTAAATGCTGCACGTAAACAGAAATAAATGACCACAGAGGAACTACATAAATGTAACCTAAAAAATGAGGAAATCAAAATAGTTAGAGTTCCTATGCCTTGGATCAAACATTGTTCAGAATGGAGATTGCAATCAAGAAATAAGAAGATGACAAGGAACAGAAAGGGTAACTATAGAAGAACTAAGCAAGATACTGAAGAATAAAGATATACACTAACGTGAGGATCAACCAAGCCATCGTAGTCCTCATCACCATGTACAGATGTGAGAGTTGGACAGTGATGAATGCCAATAGGAAAAAATCAAGTCGTTTGAGATGTGGTGCTGGAAAAGAGTGCTGAGGATATCGTGAATGGTCAAGAAGACAAACAAGTGGGTTCTAGAACAGATCAAGCCTGAACTCTCCCTGGAAGCCAAGATGACAAAACTGAAGCTGCTGTATTTTGGCCACATCATGAGAAGGCATGACTCACTAGAAAAGATAATGATGCTGGGAAATGTGGAGGACAGTAGAAAGAGAGTAAGACCATACACCAGATGGATACTCAATCAAGGAGGCCATGGGCCTGAATTTACAGGACCTAGGCAAAGCAGTGGAGGAGAGAAGATCTTGGAGATATCTCATCCACAGAGTCGCCATGAATTGGGGCCTAGTCGAGGGAGATTAACAACAACAACCCATCGCCAAGCTATCTATATATGTTATGCAAGTACAAGCATTTCAGAAAGAAATCCAGAAACAAATATCAGAATATACTCTTGGTTCCAAGAATTTCAGATAAGGGAAACTCAACCCGTATTATTCCAGTCAGCCAGGACTAGGTTGGCAATCGTCAGCAGAGGACTTTCTCTTCAGCCGCCCCTATACTGTGGAAGAGATTGGACAGCCAAATATGCTATCTGAATTTAAAACAGCATTGAAAAACAGTTTTTTCCAGCAGACCTATCCAGATTACAGTTGCCCCTCCGTTTTCGTGAGGGATCCATTCTGGATCCCCCCTGCATGAAAATGAAATACCGCAAATATTCAAGCCCCATGGGCTTGAATGGGGGCGTGCGCCTGCAGGCGCACCCCCCATTTTATACTCCTCTGTTTCCTGCCCGCGAACGGGTGAGGGTCACAGACTTCAAGTCCACGAAAATGAAGGGACAACTGTATTTTTAAATTATGAATTAAGAGGTTGAGTTTTAAATGTAGACTGTTTTAAAATGTGTATGCCTTACTTCTCCTTTTAAACTGATGCATGTTTTAATTCAGGGGTAGGCAACCTTTCCCCTTTAAGGGCCGAGGGACTTCAGCTCCCAGAATCCCAGGAGCTATGGGCCAACATGGCTGAGGCTTCTGGGAGCTGAAGTCCCTCGGCCCTTAAAGGGGAAAGGTTGCCTACCCCTGTTTTAATTAATGTGATTTAACTGAGGTTATTAATTGTTGATTTGCTGTTGTCCCCTGCCTTGATCCATGGAGAGAGGCAGGTAAAATGATGGTGGTGATGATGATGATGATGATAATTAGATAATTGAGTGCACCTCTAAATGTCTGCGTAAGGAAAATGGAGGCCCTTGGCTCCACATACTGCCTGTGGATTTCCTCAGAGTGAGAGGGTCCCTGTGGGGAAAGAGGATTCCAGCCCAAACAGCCCAAGGGCTCAGGGTAATGTCCTCACCTCAAAGGAGGACCAGGCACCGCAAAATGTAGGACATTCGATAAAAAGAGAGGACGCGACCAAACTAAAAGCTACTAAAACTCATATAAATATAAATTCATGCTGCTTAGTCATGCCCAGAGTGGAGGGCATTTTGGAATTCCTCCTGGACAGAAGGTTGAAATGGAGGACAAGTCCTAGAAAAGGAGGGCGTCCGGTCGCCCTGCGTGGCCGAAGGAAGGGGGGGAGCTGGAAGATGTAGTGCAATCCTTCTGTGTGTGTGTGTGTGTGTGTTGTTTGCCTTCAAGTCATTATGGAGACTCTATCATGGGGAGGTTCTTGGCACATTTCTTCAGAGTGTTTTGCCTTCGCCGTCCTCTGAGGCTGAGACAGTGTCACTTGTCCATGGTCACCCAGTGGGTTTACATGACCTAGCCGGGATTCGAACCCTGGTCTCCCAGAGTCCTAGTCCAGTGCTCAAACCACTACGCCATGCTGCCTTTCCTGTGGTTCGCCTACCCCGCTTTAGCTGTAAGAGGCAGAGAAAGAAAGAGAGAACGCGCCCTGAGGACCCTCAAAACCCGCCCGGCGCCCTTTTACCTGCGCACGACACCTTGACTGTCTGCCGGTCCCCGACCCCCGCGACACGCCGGAAGTCCCCACTGAGAGGCACGCCGTCCACAGCGCTTCTTCCGGAGCTGCGCAGAAGAAGTCGCAGAAGTCGCCCACAGCACCAGAGACGAGGCTAGGCCTCTGAGCGCGCACCTCAGGCTGCCTCTCACTGTCCGCCACCGCCCCCTGGCGAGCTCCTCCGGTACTGCCATGAAGGCGACCGCTTGGTTTGTGGTGGTGGTTGTGTGCCTTCAAGTCGTTTCTCATTTATGGCGACCCTAATGTACACCCCCTGGGCAAGCCACACTTTCTCAGCCACAGAGGAGAGCAAAGGCAACCCCCCGTGAACAACTATTATATATTATTTGGTTTACCATAGTACTATATATTAGTATATATATATATATA